GGCCGCGGGTGGCGGCTCCGTCCCGCCCCGGCGACCCCGCAGCTGTCTGCAGCGACTTCCCAGAGAGCGCCCCGGCTCTCTCTATCTGCACTTGTGACACCCGATGGCCTCTGAACCCGTTTCCAGTCCTGTTTCTCCCCCTTTCGTTCCCGCTCGTTCCTCTCCTGGGAGGGAGAGAGGTGCACAGATGAGGACTTAGGTGGAGACCAGGCCACTGAGGATCTGCACCCAGATGCGCACTGAAGCGCACCCTCAATTAAGATCAGGCCTGTTTTTCCTCAAGAAATCACAGACTAAAGCCCCCCCCCCATTCTTCCTATCTTCAAATTTAAGAAATACAGAAAAAAGGAAAAAAGCCCCCTAAAGATTGGATCTTAGCATAAAAACGTGTAGGATAGGCTGGCTGAAACAGCTTGATGCCTTTGGTCCCAGCAGTGTCTTTTTGGTATCCCTCTCCCGTCGGGGGGATGGGGAGCAGGAGGAGGGCAGAAGGTGCTTGAGGTTTTTAAGGTAACGACTTTGAATAACATTGTAATCAAATGTATTCTTTTGCCGTGTCTTGGCAAGAGAATGTCAACAACAAAGTGACAAGGCGTATCTTACGCACGTTGCCTTTGATTTTTGTGTGTGGGGGGCTAATTTTTACTAACCTTTTACTCCTTAACTTTCCGCAGGAAAGACTTTCCTGCCGGGCTATAGACTGATAGTTCCAATTAGGGTCCATTTCTGCTTCTGCTTCTGCTTTTGCTAATTGGCAAGAAGTCTGTTATCTTAGAATTTCTGACATTCCTGAGGGTGCATAATACAGCTTGGGAGTTATTTTCCGTGATTGTTGTAAGCTGTAAGCAAATATATCTGCTCCTGGCTTCCCTGGTTTACTTTCCTGTTTGGACAAGTTTTTTGATGGGGGAAAAGAGCTGTGTGGGCTGACACTTTTGAACAGGAGAAACCTTGGAGACGTTTGTGTTAGAGACCGTGAGTGTGCTTTTCAGGGATCCTGCGTCAATGGTGGACAGCTCCAGAAAAGGTACAGGAAGCTTCAGTGCCTTAGCTGCTGCCATTGAAATACAAAATCATTTTCTTTGGAACAACTTGCCTTTCCATTTTTTTTCTTGTCACTTTTCTGTTTCTAAATTTTTTTCTGTATAAATCTGCTTTTTTTTGCTGCACACTCTGCTAAAATATGGGGCAGAGACGAGAGTTTCTGAGTCTGAGGCTAATCTGTGTTTCTTTTGTGGAAGAGTACTTGTTTTCATGAAGTCAAAAGCAACCCTGAGCATCATTCTTCTTAGAATAACTTTTTTTTTTTAATTTAAAAATATTTTTTGCTTTCCCTCCTGTTTGATTCATTCATTCAACAAATACTGAGTGCTAGGCATCATTCTAAGTGCCTGGGACACCTCATTGCCCATGAAGAATCCACTAGCTACTAACTCCAGGAATCTCATTTGAATGTTTGGGCACTATGGGTGACCTTGATAGACACAAGCCACCAAGCCCAGCATCAGGTATTCTGCTGCAATGTGTATGATATGTTTTTAAAAGTTTCTTCTCTCCAGTGACTTAATAGTGTAAAAGTTATCTTTGGTTGTTTAAATTCTTAAGAGATTTTTCATTCATAACTGAATCTTGTCTTAACAGCCCACTTTTCTTGTGGAACTGTCCAGAGTGCTGGCAAATCCAGGAAACAGCCAGGTTGCCAGAGTCGCAGCTGGTCTACAAATCAAGAACTCTTTGACATCGAAAGACCCAGACATCAAGGCACAGTATCAGCAGAGGTGGCTTGCTATTGATGCTAACGCTCGACGGGAAGTCAAGAACTATGTGAGTAACTTCCTTCTTGTGATCATACTGCCTGGGAATGAGAAACACTTTGCCCGTTGTTTCTGCTACATTTGCATGGGACAGACCTTGGTAGTGATAGATTTTCAGGATCTAGATTCACCTGAACATAAAAATTGTATTTGGTTTAAATCTCCCTTCATTTAGCTTGTCCATTGGTGGTTCAGAATTCTTTTTCAGCTGACTGAGGCAGCGTGCAGGAGTTTGAAAGGAAGCTTTAATTAGATATTTTGATAAATTAGAGTAGTATACAAAAAAAAATAATATACAAGTTGGTTTTGTACATTATTTTTCTGAGGCTGGAGGTTTAGCTCAGTGGTAGAGCATTTGCCTAACATGTGCAAAACCCTGAGTTAAATCCCCCACAGCTCAGAAAAGTGTGTGTGTGTGTGTGTGTGTGTATCTAAGTTCTCCACAAATTCTGGTTTGGAGGTCTAGAACGGAGTTCAGGGATTTTTTTTTTTTTTTTTAAATCTTTTTGAGACAAGGTTTCACTGTGCAGTTCAGGCTGGCTTTGAACTCACTTTGTAGCCCAAGCTGACCTTGAACTTGAAGCAATCCTGCTTCAGCTTCCCAAATGCTGGATTACAGGTGTGCCTCATTGCACCCAGCCTAGGGATATTTGTTAAACTGTCTTTCCAAGGAGGTTCTTTCACCACCAGCCAGCACCTACCTCTTGTTGAACTTGTGCTGCACATAATTCTCATTGGTGGGGTATTTATAGCACTGTGAAGTCAGAAGGAGCTCACTTTGTAACCCAGGCTGGCCTCGAACTCGCAGCGATCCTCCTGCCTCAGCCTCCGAGTGCTGGGATTACCGACGGTTGCCATCGCGCCCAGTGACATTAATGGTTTTTGAACCTACTTCACAAATTACAAACACCTGTTCTTCAGAGACCCTTTGTGTCCCCGTGGTGTCGGCTGAGTGAGATGATGGACTTTGGGAAGCTGTCATCCATTGCTGTGCATCGTGGTTTCTTACGCCTTGTTGGATTAGAAATGTGTAATTCCAGCAAAGGAAAGGATTCAAGAGAAATAAATCTGTATATGGGCAAATTTGCTTATTTTCTCAGTGAGGTTCTTTAGTAGCCTTGTTACATGGATAAGGCCCAAAGAGAAGTTAAAGTCTGTGTGGCTGTCATTTTGACTTAGGTTTGTGGGGTTTTTGGTTTATGTATTTTAGGGTACTGGGGATTAAACTCAGAACATTGGCACTGAGTGAGCTACATTCTTACCCCTTTTTTATTTTGAGACAGGGTCTGACTGTTGCTAAGTTGTGAAGGCTGGGTTCAAACTTGGACTCCTCTTGCCTCAGCCTCCCAGATTACTGGGATTACAAGTGTGAGCCACCATGTTCTGCTTACCCTTGGTATTTGAGGGGAAACCAGGGGTGAGTCCTACACTTGTACTTGATCAGATCGTGGTTATTCGCATTGCATTTGCTGTTTCCTGTCAGTGCCAGCGTTAGGCAAATTAGTACCCCTTAGACAGCTCCTTCTTGTTCTGCTTCTGTCTTCTCCAGTCATGCTTGAAGGTACCTATGACAGGAAACTAATTTAGAAGCCACTTTTATTTTGAATAGTTTTTGGAGTATAAAAAAAGTTTCTATTGCACATTACACCTGTGTGATTGATTGATTGGTTGATTGATTGATTTTGAGACAGAATCTCACTATGTGGTGCAGGCTGGCCTTGAACTTGCTTATGTAGCTCAGGCTAGTCTTGCTCTCAGGAGCATCATCCTGCCTCAGCCTCCCAAGTGCTGGGATTAGAGACCACTACATCTGGCTGTGTGATCTTTTTTTGTTGCTGGTATGTGGGATTGAACCCTGGACCTTTGCACTGTGCGGCTTCGCTGCCCTTTTTTATTTTGAGATAAGCTCTCACTAAATTGTCCAGGCTGGGCTGGAAATTTCAGTTCTCCTGCCTCAGCCTTCCATAGTGCTGGGATTACACCCAATTTGTGATGGCATTTTAAGTCTCCTTCCCCATAGATATTTGACATAAATGAAGTGTGTTTCATCACTGAAGATCTTTTTTTTTCCCTTTTTTCTCCTTTGAGATGAGGTTCTCCCTATGTTGCCTAGGTTGGCCTTGAACTCCTGGTAGGCTCAAGTCATCCACCCATGCATGTGCCACTGCCTAGCTCATCACTGGAAATTTTTTTTTGGGAGAGAGCAGGTACTAGGGTTAGAACCCATGGCCTTCCCACTGAGCTACATCTCAAACCGTTTTTTTTTTTTTTTTTTTTTTTTTGTACTGGGAATTGAACTCAGGACTTCACAGTTGCCAGGCAGGTGCTGCACCACTGAGCTAAATCCCTGGTCCCTCCAGCCTTTTTATATTTTTTATTTTGAGACAAAAGACATGCTTCATTGCTCAGACTGGGCTTGAACTTGTGCTTCTCCTGCCCCAGCTTCTCAGAATGTTGGGATTTCAGGAATACCCCAGTTTATCACTGGAACTTTTTTTTTTTTTGTCTTTTTGAGAGAGGGTCTATGCAGTTCAGGCTGCCCTTGAGTTCACTTTGTGTCTCAGGCTGTTCAAGAACTTGCAGTGCTCCTCCTGCCTCAGCTTCCCCAGTGCTGGGATTACAGACGTGCACCACCACACCCCACTCATCACTGGAACTCTTGATGCTCATAATGCCCACTCATTTTCTCATACCTCTAATTATGTGGTACTTCAGTAAATGAGATAGGACATGATTTGAACTTACTTGTATTTTTTGACACAGTTAAAAATTATTGGTATGGTTGAGGCCTCTTGGCTATTAAAAAAAGTTAGAATGAGCCAGGTATAGTGATGTGTGCCTATAATTTCCAGCTGTATACTAGGGAAGCTGAGGCAGGGGAATCAGTTGAGCCCAGCAGTTAGAGACTAGCCTAGGCAGTGAGGCACGACCTCTTCTGGCAGATGTGATAGCTGATGTTGACTCTCAGTGCTTCTGGAGTTTTTTTGGGACAAAGAAACACTGTGTAGCCCAGGCTGGCCTCAGCCTCCCGAGTGCTGGGATTACAAGCGTGTGCCACTCTATTGGCTTCACCTGCAGTAGTATTAACTAAGAGTCGTCTGCAGCACTTCAAAGCAAAGGTGACTGGCATTCAGCCTGCTACGCAGCTCTACTAGGAGACAGTGCAGACCGAAGCCCTTTGGAGGGAGGAGGGAGAATGCGTACGGAGAGGTTGCGTGGTGGGTGTTAAGTTGTGGCTGGACGGGAGCAATAGGCCCTGGGGTGCTGTCGCACCGCTGGGTGACCATAGATGATGGTAATGTTGCATACGTTTCAAAAAAGCTGACAAACGGGATTGTGGTTGTCGGGACTACAAAGTATGATAGTGTTTAAGGAGATGCCATAGATAGATTTGTACTGATTTAAACTATACCCAAAGTATGCATGCAACAGAACATCACGTGGGAGCTGGCCATGGTAGCACACGCCTGTGATTCCAGCACTTGAGAGGCTGAGGCAAGAGGATTGCCTCGAAAGTGAGACCCTGTCTCAAACAAACAAAGAAAAAAACAACATCACGTGGTACCTCATATCTGTGATTTTTTTTTTTTTTTTTTCTTTTTTGAGACAGGGTCTCATGCACTTCAGGCTGGCTTTGAGCTCATTTTGTAGCCCAGGCTGGTCTTGAATTTGCAATGATCCTCCTGCCTCAGCCTCCCGAGTGCTGGGATACAGGCATGTGCCACCACGTCTGGCATACTTGTGATTTTTGTCATTTAAATTTTTTAAAATTCAAGCCCCCACCCCCACCACTCAAAAAAAAAACACTTGACTTGAGCTAACCCTAACCTGTTCAGCCGCCAACATTTGGCCAGCTTACCTCATTCCTCCATCTCTTCACCATCTCTTGGACACAGTTCTTGTCAGTGTCCATCCCAGCTCAGCCGGTGGAAGAGAGCAAAGCCCTTTGGAGACAAAGGAGTGGGTCCTGGGTAGCGCTGTGGCGGCACGGTGGGCGGAGAGGATGACCTGCTGCCTGGGAGGGAAAGCTGAGGGGGGTTCACCGTTAGCTCATAACTGCAGAGCAGGGTGCTGAGCAGCCCAGCCCAGTCAGCAGGGCTGGCCGAAAAGCTGGCAGCTCTTCTGTGTCCTGTGCTCCTGCCAGAAACAGTTGGGTTAGAGAGGACCAGTGGCTCTTAGTGAGTTCATTGACTGAGTTAGCTGATGTTGGTAATGATTAACCCTGAGTCGCTTGTGGCTTCCTCTCTATCTGAATCAGTCCTTTCCCCGTTACATAAGTGCCTGTGTGAGTTCCACTGCCAGTGAGACCCAGGTAATGCCGAGGACGGCGTGTGAGTGGATACACACGAGGAGTTCTTGGGCCAGTTGGTAGAGCACGGTTTTTTTGATTCTTGGGTACACGGAGTGCACCCTTCAGGTTGGAAGTGGAGGGGTGAGGGGCCTTAGGTTTGGCAGGATTAGTAAGTGTTCTGCGTTGAGAGATGTTGCCTGAGGAGGTCTTTCTGAAGAGCAGGTCACACTGAGCGCTGGCTTATCTGTGAGCTGCCAATGAGAAGATCTTTTCCTGGAGTTTGGCAGTGACCTAGTATGAGTCGGACCCAGCTGAGGCCCCACAGTTACCCTTACTCTAAACAGGGAGGGGGCATCCTTCCCATGCATCCCAACAAGGAGCCTAGAGGCTGAATTTGATGCCCTCCTTCTCCCCCTTACTTTTTAATGCCCCCTGTACCTCTTAACTGCTGGTTTTTCCTGCTTGTGTTGAATGTGGAAGTGAGATGTGTGCTTCTGGAGAATTCCCACTGACAGCAGGGGTGGTTGGTTTCGCTTTTAGGTTATGGGGATTGTTGGTTGTATGGGTGATGGTATTTAGGCTGGCTTGGGTTTTTTGTTGTTTTGTTTTTTCTTTACAGAATTGAGAGCTAGTGACACAAGGGGTGTGGCTTTATGCAAAATATTCTCAGTAATAATCGATATTGATATGTTTTATTTACTCTGCTTTTTTTTTCCCCCAGGTTTTACAGACCTTGGGCACAGAAACTTACCGGCCTAGCTCTGCCTCGCAGTGTGTGGCTGGTATCGCTTGTGCAGAGATCCCAGTAAACCAGTGGCCAGAACTCATTCCTCAGCTGGTGGCCAATGTCACGAACCCCAACAGCACAGAGCACATGAAAGAATCAACGTTGGAAGCTATTGGTTACATTTGCCAAGATATAGTGAGTGCTTACGAGGTGTCTCTGACTTGTGTACTCTTAACTCCTCCAGCGACGTGTGGTATTAGGACAGCTGTCAGATCATGAAGAAAACCCAAGTTGTTTAATTGCTGGGGTATCAAACCTAGGATCTTGCATCCTAGGCAAGCACTTTACCAGTGAGCTCTACCCATGGCCCCAGGAGATTTTCAACGCAAGAATGTGCTCATTTAACATCTCTGACCTAATCCTTTTTCTCAGGGTTTTTAATGTACCTTGAACACTGTGTGCTTTCTTCATTTACTACGTTATGGATGGATTTGCCAACTGCTCCTTGGTTGGTTTCGTCCCTGGAGTCACACGTAGTGTTTTAGATGCAGCCCTCCTAAGACTGTTGCTGTGATGGAGGTCACTGCTCTCGATGTCTGTCTCAGAGCAGACTTCACAGAGCACAGGAACCTACAGCACTTGACCTGGACCAAGGTGTCCCCAGTACTGTGCTTAGGTGCTGATCCTTGGCCCTCAGCCAGTTTATTTGGTGCAGAAGGCCTGGGGAAAAACACCAGACTGCCCTCTCCCTTTCACAGAAGGTGCCCAGAGTCCTTAGAGGCCAGAGGTAGAGTTGATCAGCTGAGCGTGTTGCAGTTGGGTGCGACTGCCAGGCATGTGGGAGATTTGCAGGACTCGGCACTGCAGTCCCCAGATGGATGTATGTGGGAAAGATCACAAAGTCATGACACTCATTGTGGATTTTGCAGTTAAAGGACTGCTGATTAGTCATGAGCTGATTATCATGTTCACTGCACTTCTCGGCTTGTTTCAGGAACCAGAGCAGCTACAGGATAAATCCAATGAGATTCTGACTGCCATAATCCAGGGGATGAGGAAAGAAGAGCCGAGCAATAATGTGAAGCTAGCTGCTACTAATGCACTCCTGAACTCGCTGGAGTTCACCAAAGCCAACTTCGACAAAGAGGTAGGTTTCTTCTATCACATGGCACCAGTTCACAGGTTGTGGAATGAGAGTTCAGTGAAAGTGGTGTTTTGGAGCTGTGTAAAAGTGTCCCTTTCAGCCGTGCGTGGTGGTGCACACCTGTAATCCCAGCACTCCAGAGGCTGGAGCAGGAGGATTGTTGTGAGTTCAAGGCCAGCCTGAGCTACAAAGTGAGCTCAAGGCCAGCCTGAACTGCATAGTGAGACCCTGTCTCAAAAGGACAAAAAATAAATAAATAAATAAAAGTGTCCCTCTCTGTTACAGTTGAGATTTGTGTGCTGTATCAGTCAGGCCTTTACTAGAGAAACATCTATAACACAAGATACACAAATGTGTAAGAAATTACAAGTTGGCTTACAGTGGTCAGCCACGGAGGGTGTCTGCACGCTGGAGACCGACGGGTGCAGTCCGTGGTCTGGAGCTCAGTAGTGTTCCATGCAAGTCTGTGTCAGGAGGCCAATGGGCCTTTGACGGAAGGAGGGCGAGTCTACCCTGGAAGGCTGAAGGTTCCAAGGCGAAGACAAGGAGTCTGTGCCAGAAGCTGGGAGGTGCCATCCAAGCTGAAGGTGAAGCCTGGAGCTCCTCTGAAGAATGGAAGCCCCCCTCCGTCCTTCCTCATTTCCCTTTTATACCATCCGGATGGTGGACCACCCTAGGGTGTAGAATTGCTGAGCCCATTTAGTGAAGCTTCTAAACTTCTCAGGTTGACACAAGCAGTCAACCACGACGGGGGGAGACGTAGTATGAAGTGAGTGTTTGCCATTCTCATCTGGCATATAAAATGGTTTTGCCTAAAAAGTTCACCCGTCACATCCCCCCTTGTGGCAGGGTCTTGATAAGTCATTAAGTTGCCCCCATTGGGGTTGGGCTTGGAATTCTGCCCCAGCATTCCAGACTGCTGGGACTAGCACATGTACTGCCGTGCCTGGCTCATTTACCTACAACTATGGTAAAATACATGCAGTGTAAACTTTACCATCTCCACCAGAGGCATGGTACACACCTGTAATCCCAGCTACTTAGGAGGCTGAGGCAGTTTTGTAAGTTCCTGGGCAACTTAACTTGGAAAGACCCTATCTCAAGCACTGTTGTACTGTTCTTAGAAATCTGGCTGCCTTAGACATCATGTATAAATAGTCTTAACAGACCTGTCTTTCTGTGATTGCATATTGCACTTGGTATAACGTCCTCAAGGTTGGCCCAGGGTGCAAGATGTGCCAGAATCTGTTTTTGAGGCAAAGTAGCGTTTTCTTCGGTGTATCATGTTTGTGTGTTGCATCACCCGTTTGCCCTGCTCCTGCCTTTTGGCTATTGGAAGTGAGGCCGTTATGAACATGGGTGCTCAGATGCTTCTTCAAGCTGTGGCATCATTTTCTGTGGAAGGGCCATGTCCCTGGAAGTGGGGCGGCTAGATCAGAGTCTGCAAGTATTTGAGTGTTTCTGTTTGTTGTCACTTAGGCTGGGCTTTCTGCCGTTTCTTGGCCTTTAAAGGGGAGGTCTCAGAAGGCAGAGCAAAGTACAGCTCTACTTGATTTGAAAACGAGTTTCCTTTTGATCTCAAGATTTGGGAGGGCAGCAAATGAAGTCCATTACTCAACACATTTGATACAGGTTTTCCATCTTCTGCAAAACAAAAATTTTTTTTTTTTTTTTTTTTTTGGTTTTTCTCCGGTACCGGGAACCGAACTCACGACCTTGCGCTTGCCAGGCAGGCGCTTTGCCGCTGAGCTAAATCCCCAGCCCCTGCAAAACAAAAATTTAGTCTCTAAAATAAAGCAGATGTTTTGAATTCTTAATTTTAATAAATATAAGAAAATAAAAACCTACTTCCCTACAAGTAGGTTTTTGTTGTTCTTTTAACTATTCTTACCTACCCTCTGTGGCCTACATTCTGCTGTCGGCTTTCTTGTGGACTCCTGTTAGCGAAGGTCGTGTGGGGGATTAAAGGCTTAGGGGCCTCCTTCTTGGGCTGGCTCTTTGCCCCGCCACAGTGCTCTCACAAGCCACCTCCAGGAAGAGCCACTGGGCTGTGCCTGGCTTGCATAGGTGCCTGAGAAGTGACAGGGTTTCTTGTAAAGAGAATCTGGAGGGCCAGACATACAGCTTGTTCTGGGTTCAATTCCTGCTATCAAAAAAATCTGGAAGTCTTCAAGTGTGTAGTTTATGCTTTCCTGATTTTCTTTTCTCTTTATTCCTCTTGCAGTCTGAAAGGCACTTTATTATGCAGGTGGTCTGTGAAGCCACCCAGTGTCCAGATACAAGGGTGAGTGTAAAAACACATGAAAAAATGTCCATCTTACATGTCCCCAGAGAAGGCAGGCTCTGTCATGCACAGTTTGAAACATGGGGAAATCAGTGGATTAAAGAAAGAGGTTTGGCAGACTGTCGGAGTTTTTCTCAATGTATTAGACAAGAGAAAACAGTACTCTTGGGAGAACAACGGAAATTATCATCCTCTTGAAAGGTTTTCCAAGAGGCTGAGGCAGGAGGATCACAAGTCCAAGACCAGCTGGGCTGGAAAGCTGAAAATGGGGGTGGGGTGGGGCTAGGGGTGTAGTTCAGTGGTAGAGTGCTTGCCTAGCACACAGCTGGCCATGGGCTCAGTTCCCAGTACTGCAATAAAGGGGATGGTTTAAGGGAGAAGCTGGTGGTTAACTTTGCTATTTGATTTATTGCAATAGATCATTCAAGTGATTGGTTTCAGCTGTAGTCATTGAAACAGTTTTGCTTTTACGGTAACCCAAACTGTTAATTTCTTGAAGCTGGCCAAAGTAACATCTTCAGTCTGAGCAGTATTAGTAAGTTTAGACCTACTGTGGGTTCCCTAGGCACCTTTGAAGGAAAGGAGAACAAATTAAATGTAGGAAGGCATAATGGAAATTGTGTTTGGGGAGAAAATAACATGAACTGTGTCTACTGTTAGGTGGTTGGCTGTTGGGAGTCTGTCCACAAACTGCACTGCTACTTTAGTAAGCTATTTCATCTCTTCTTAAAAGGTACGAGTGGCTGCTTTACAGAATCTGGTCAAGATAATGTCCTTGTATTATCAGTACATGGAGACATACATGGGTCCTGCTCTTTTTGCAGTGAGTATTTTATGTGATTTATCTTTGTAGCTAATTGCAAGGTTCATCATTCTTAGTTGCTGTTTTATTATCCTGTAATTTTTTACTTCATATTATGAAATAAGCTGGGTGTGGTGGCCTTCACCTATAATCCCAGCATTCTAGAGGGTGAGAGGAGAATCTGCTGTGAGTTCCAGGCCAGCCTGGGCTATATAGTGAGTTTGAGGCCAGCCTGAACTATGTAGGGAGACTCTGTCTCAAGAAATTTCCTTAAGTCTTCAGTATTCTGTGGTATACCAAACTTTTTTATCTTTGATGCTGAAAGGACTGTATTTTGAAAAAATAAGTATTTTTTGGTTTCTACTATTTATTTCAGAACTAGCTTTTGCAGCCGGGTGTGGTGGCACACGCCTGTAATCCCAGCTTTTGGGAGGCTGAGGCAGGAGAATTGCTTCAAGTTCAAGGCCAGCCTGTACTACATAGCAAGACTCTGTCTAAAAAAAAAAAAAAAAAAAAAAAAAAACTCGTTTTTACAAATTGTGTTTTTGAAACCTGAGTGGAATGTCTGGTTAAAGAGTCTAATTGCTGGGCATGGTGGCGTATGCCTGTAATCCCAGCACACTTGGGAGGCTGAGGCAGGAGGATCGTTGCAAGTTCGAGACCAGTCTGGGCTACAGAGTGAGCTCAAGGCCAGCCTGAACTGCACAGTGAGACTGTGTCTCAAAGAGCCCAAAAAAAAAGAAAAAAGAAGTCTAATGTGATGAATACTTATTTGCGGCCTGGGTCTTGTATTTTTTTCCCTTAAGATCACAATTGAAGCAATGAAAAGCGATATAGATGAGGTGGCCCTACAAGGAATAGAGTTCTGGTCCAATGTCTGCGACGAGGAGATGGATTTAGCCATTGAGGCTTCTGAGGTGAGTGCAGGAGAGGGTTGGGGTGGGGCGGCTGTCCTTCTGTCCTGTTTGAACAGCGTGTTAGTGCGGCCAAGGGGTCTCTGCATGGCGGAGGTTGTAGTTTTCCTGCTAGCTGAGTCCTCATACCGGAGACCGTCAGTAATGAGGTAGCTTGTGTCTTTACTGGTTTCAGGTGTAATTTATTGTAGGTGCTGAGGATTGCTACTGTGGACACCAGGGGGCAGCAGGCAGGCAGTTTATCCAGGGGACCGCTCATGCTGAATTATTTGCTTTCTGAGGTCTTAATGCAAGCTTAGAATGTATAATTGATGGTTTATTAACTCTGATGAAGGAGTCTCAGGGGGAAAAGAGTTATCCTGTACTTGAAATTTTTTGTTTGCAACCTGATCTATTTCTCCCATTTTCGAAAGTACAGCTTTATTTTTGGCACCTTTTTTTTGCACTCTTGTGTAAACTTTGTACATCTCTTGATTTCAAAGAACACTAGGTGTCAGGTTGTTAATATGCATCAAGCGGGTGAAAAGAGAAATGTAATTCTTAAGGTTGCCTTGATCTTCTGAAAAAGATTACGTTTGTGACTTAGAAGAATTTCACTGAAGTAGCCCAAAAAATAAGCACCTTCAGCCAGGCATGGTGCTGCACACCTGTAATTCCAGCTACTCAAGTGACGGAGGCCAGGAGGATTGCAGGTTCAAAGCCATCCTCAGCAACTCAGTCAGACTGGCTGTAGCTCCGTGGTGGAGCACTTGCTTACCATGCCCAAGGCCCTGGGTTCAGCCCCTAGTACCTGGGAGAGGGAGAAGACAGCGAACACTTGCCTTTGCCCTGTGTATTTGTTACAGGCCCGGAGCAGCTCTGACTGCACGCCCTTAGTTTGTTTTTGTCTAACATCTGCTTTATTTTTCTCAGGCAGCAGATCAAGGACGGCCCCCTGAGCACACCAGCAAGTTTTATGCCAAGGGAGCACTACAGTACCTGGTTCCCATCCTCACACAGACACTAACTAAACAGGTGAGGCTCCTCCCCACCCATGTCAGTCGGCTGCGAAGCCTCAGATTGGGTTGGTGTGCTGTGGACCCTTTCCCATGGAGGAGATCAGCAGCCCATCAGCTGCTGGTGCTCTGTGGCAGGGACTCGGGAGTGGCGGAGCTGGGCCTGCCCAATCCCCTAGGCTCTGAGTTGTCTGTGGAGGCTGGAGTCTGAGTATCTCATGAGTCTTGATTGGGACCAAGCCACTCCCTGCTCTGGTGTCCTGAGGGCCATGTTGCATGGTCCACACTAAAAGAAGAGATACGTTCTATAAAATTGCCGTAAAGGAAAGGCCAGGGTGAGATATCTGGAATATTGTTGTGAATTCATGGGTTACAGCTGGGTTTTTTGTTTTGTTTTTGTCTTTTTGAGAAGGGTCTCACTTTATGCAGTTCAGGCTGCCCTTGAACTCAACTGTTGTCCTGCCTCAGCCTCCCAAGTGCTAGGATTACAGGCCTATGCCACCATGCCCCATGTTTTTTGTTTTGTTTTTGCTTTTGTCTTTTTGAGATAAGGTTTCACTGTGCACTCACTTTGGCCTTGAACTCACTTTGTAGCCCAGGCTGGCAGCCTCCTGCTACCACAGCTAGCACTGCTTTCAGTTTTACAGTGACAATTTTTCTTTTTTCTTTTTAACTTTTATTTTAAAGAAAAACACAAAAACAATAAAACACAAATTTCCAAAATATGGTAGGAGGGTAACAGTGGTTAATACATTGTGTTTTATTATCTTTAAATTAGTTACTCAGTGGTGCACGCCTGGAATCCCAGCACTCGGGAGGCTGAGGCAGGAGGATCGTGGCAAGTTCGAGACCAGCCTGGGCTACAAAGTGAGCTCAAGGCCAGCCTGAACTGCATAGGGAGACCCTGTCTCAAAAAGACCAAAAAAAAAAAAAATTAGTTACTCGGAGTACAAGATAGCAGCATTTAATTGTCCGAACAATTTTAGCACAAACCTTTCTTTTCAATGAACTGAGAGAAGTTAGTAATATAGTTATTTTAGCTATCTTTTGCGTATATATATTTTTTTCCTTTTGCTTTTCCCTTCCTTTTTCCATTCCCCTACACCAGTTTCTCTTTCGTTTTGAAGTTTCTTCCCCTTTTACAACACTTGTGTACATTTTGGATCTTTTTTATTCTTTCAGCTTCTCACGCTAGAAATTTTTTGTTTTGTAGTTTTTGTTTGTTTTGTCTTTTTGAGACAGGGTCTCACTATGCAGTTCAGGCTGGCCTTGAGCTCACTTTGTAGCCCAGGCTGGTCTTGAACTTGCAGCGATCCTCCTGCCTCAGCCTCCTGAGTGGTGGGATTACAGATGTGCGCCACCGTGCCCGGCAGTATTTTTGCTTTTGTGTGTTTTGTTGTTCTTTTTTTATTTGAGAACCAACCATTTCTCATGTGTGCCATTCTCTGGAACTGCATAGACACAATTCTTGCGTCTGGTGACTTAAGGACAGTATGAAGGTACAGGTGAACTGAGCAGGGTACTGCGCGGCTCAAACCCCCGCACTGCTGGAGGCCGACACAGGAGGGTTGTATTGTCTCAAAAAATTAAAAAGAGCTAGCACTGTAGCTCGGTGGAGCACCGTGGGCTTGATCCCCACTATTGCAAAAGAAAAGAAGATATGCCGGAGTCCTAATTTAAGAGAACAACCTGAGTAGAATGTGTCATGTGTTTTTCTTTTTGGTGGTACTGGGGATGAACCCAGGCCCTTGCGTTCTACCATATTCTGAAGCACATCTGGCTGAAGTACATCTGGGTCCTTTTTATTTTGAAATGGTCTCACTCAGTTGCTCAGGGTGAACCAAGATTTGCAGTCTTCCTGCCTCAGCCTCTTACATAGCTGGAATTCCAAGCATTGATCGCCACACTCAGTGGTGTTTTGGGTTTTTTGTGTTTTTGGTTTTTGTTTTTTTTTTTTTTTTTTGAGACCATGTCTTGTTATGTAGTTGAGGCTGGTCTCAATTCATTGTGTAGCCCAGGCTGGCCTTGAGCTCCTCTTGCCTCAGCCTCCTGGTTTTGGCAGTACTGGAGGTGAACCCCAGGGACTCAACATACCAGGCAAGTGTTGTACACTGAGCCACATCTCCAGCCCTGCTTTGCTTGTGTTTTCCTTTGTTGTTTAGAGACAGATGTGTCACCATGTTACCAGGGTGGGCTTGATTTCGCCACTGCTGTCTTCCTGCCTCAGCCTCCCAGAATGAATGCTGTGCTTAGAAGTGTGCACTCCCAAATTCAGCCCTACTCCACAATGTTTATCATTTTTGCTATTAGATAAAGTTTGAAGTTTGCACGCTGTTTTCATAGATCACACTAAGGAGAATCTTTTTCTCTCTGACTCCCAAATTAACAAGGGCTGTGGTGTGATGAGTCTTTATGAAAAAGAGAAAAGGTGGGGGTTTTTTGTTTTACTTAGTTTCATGGTGCTTCAATGCTAAAGCTACATGGACACAGGACATTTGAGTGGAAGAAGTGATTTTTTTTTTTTTTTTTTTTAGTACCAGGAATCGAACTCAGGCCTCAGGCTTGTCAGGCATGCGCCATGGCCCTGAGTTATATCCCTGGCCCGGTTGATTGATTGACTGATTGATTGATTTTCTTTTTGAGACAAGGTCTCGCTATGCACTGCAGGCTGGCCTTGAGCTCACTTTGTGGCCTAGAACTTGCAACCATCCTCCTGCCTCAACCTCCTGAGTGCTGGGATTACAGGCATGTGCCACCATGCCTGGCGTATTTATTATTTAGGTAGGGAAATTTACTGGACAAAAGCAATGGGGAATAGGATAGCTCCTGAGACACAGAAGGGGTCCTAAATGGGTTGCCTTGTGATGTGTTTTGGGGGCTTTTTTGGCTTTTTAAGATAATCTTGCTCTGTAGTCTGAACTCATTATGTAGCCTCGCCTGGCCTCAATTGCACAGCGATTGAGGTCCTCCTGCCTCAGCCTCTTAAGTGCTGCGATCATAGGTGTGCCCACCATACCTGGCCAGAATGGTCATTTGAGCAACAGCTCACCTTGTCACACGTCGTCTTCCTTACAGGATGAAAATGATGATGACGACGACTGGAACCCCTGCAAGGCAGCCGGCGTGTGCCTCATGCTCCTGTCCACTTGCTGTGAGGATGACATCGTGCCGCACGTCCTCCCCTTCATCAAGGAGCACATCAAGAACCCAGACTGGCGCTACCGGGATGCCGCAGTGATGGCTTTCGGCAGCATCTTGGAAGGCCCGGAGCCCACTCAGCTCAAACCACTAGTTATACAGGTAGAGCTCAGGGGTTTGGGAGTGCATATTGGAGTATTGATGGATTGTTCCAACTTGCTGCTTGAGTATGCTGGGTGGGGTGTTTTTATTTTTCTTTTGTTTTTCTTTTGTCTTTTTGAGACAAGGTCTCGCTATGCAGTTCAGGCTGGCCTTGAGTTCACTTTGTAGCCCAGGCTGGTCTCAAACTC